GATTTACGTCTAAAAATAATAGTGTGATGTTTATGAATCATTCACTCTGTTGTGATCCATTTTTCTTCTGCATGTTTTTCACAGCGATTCTTATCTCGCAGTTTTCAAACTATTTCATCAAATCATGAATCAAAACGTTCGGCTCTTTCAGGACAATCCTGCTATGACTTTTGATATTGGTGCGACTTTAGCTTTTTGAAATATTTAGCCTTTTCTGCCATTTTTCTCTCATAGAAAATGAATTGAGCTCATTTTACATCTTTTAAATCTTTAAATCTGTTACAACCGTTTACTGCTCCTTTCATATTTTGTTCTACTTCCGCTTCTTTCAGCTTCTTTCAGCTTCTTTCAGCTTCTTTCAGCTTCCTTCAGCTTCTTTCAACTTCCTTCTGCTTCTTTCAGCTTCCTTCAGCTTCCTTCAGCTTCTTTCAGCTTCCTTCTGCTTCTTTCAGCTTCCTTCAGCTTCCTTCAGCTTCCTTCAGCTTCCTTCAGCTTCTTTCAGCTTCCTTCAGCTTCCTTCAGCTTCCTTCTGCTTCTTTCAGCTTCCTTCAGCTTCCTTCAGCTTCTTTCAGCTTCCTTCAGCTTCCTTCAGCTTCCTTCAGCTTCCTTCTGCTTCTTTCTGCACATTTAAACGTTCAGGCTTCAGGCTTCAGGAATGTTCTGACCTACATTACTTATATAAATTGTAAAGAGAGTGGGCCCTAAAACTGAGCCTTGTGGTACACCATTGTTGACAGTTAAATAGCTACAAGAAGAACCATTGTGTTGAACACACTGCCTTTGACCCGAGAGATAATTAGACAACCATCCGATAGTGGGATCTGAGAAACCAGTATCCGAGAGCTTATGGCATCAGAAGTCATGGTCGACGGCTCCTGTCGGTTTCTCTTCTCCACTCGGGAGTCAAACCGCTGAAAACAGCTCCGATGGTGTTTAATGAAACTCAGAACTCATCTGCACCATTTGCATTTTTAATTCTCGCAGAGAACAGCTTCGTTAAAATTTTATTATCATGATTAATTCATGGCGGATTGTTTTCCGTGTTAATTAGAGGCTCGGTGTGAATTTGTGTCCAACAACACAACAAACACAACAAACACAACAACACACAACAAACACAACAA